GAGAAGAAGCTTGAAGCCAATTCCGGTGAGGACGAAGGCCCCATTCGCGTGCCCTTAAACCCGGCTTGATCCACTTCTTTTTTCATCCGGAACAGTGTTTTCCTCTCACAGATTCCTCCAAACCATCCAAATTTCTCTAGAACCATACCATCCGAACGGGGCCGAAGTATAAACATGATTTAAAAGGGCTGCATGAGCCTAGATGATGAGTCATGCATCTTTATTAATGAACGCACCGGCAAATAACCATCACCTGTAACATCCTCACGTAGACCGAAATTCATCACCTATCACCAGTGGCGGAGGGTGAAGTAGAATAAAGGAGGGGCAATTTACATGAAGACATAGTCAAAGTGTATTAAAAAAGCTTCACAATTGCTAACACCAAGGAAATAGGCAACTAGTAATGTGGAGAGAAAAGTGTGCTTGTAATCCTTACATGCATAGTAATCACTTAGAAACTTCACACGGCAAGGGGCGAGGTGGTGGTTTGGGGTGGGGGGGGGCTGCCACTAGGCTCCACCCCGCCTATCACAACGATGATGAAGCCCAATCAACCAACAATGGCAAACCCATGAAGGGGAAACGACTCCACCAACCCAATCTCTCAAGTAGGTGGTAAGCATACCACACAAAACCTCATCAGCTAAGGCATATGCACTGTCGTCGTCACTAGAGTGGTCCTAATGGGAGTAGAACCTCTCCAAATCCTCGCCAGAAACAATGTCGAGCTCGCTATTGCCTTAGGAGAAGCTAAGGGACAAAAGATCCCATACAACATCAATGTTGTGGGAAAGAAAAATATAGTCTTCCTAGAATAGCTAGAAATAGGCTAGTACAACTACTCCGGCTGTCACTCGCTAGTTCCCCACCACATTTGGTGCCCCTTGGGGCCACCTAATGCGAGGGGGAACCGGCGAAGACAACGGCAAAGTTGAATCATCCCCTTTTGGCCACTCCCGATGGTTCACGAAGGGGAAAGGTCCTCTCTAAAGCTCCCCACAAAAAGAACTAACCACCGTGCAACTGCAAAGGCCCTATGAAGCGTATGGTTTTTTTTTGCGTGTGATAAGAACTAGAAGATACCCGGCATGTTGCTGCGAAAATTGCAAAAAAAAAAGAATGAAGTTAAGTTGAGATTATGTGGATAGTTACATTAGGATGTTGGAAGTTAGTGGCATGAAATGGTGATTTTTTTTTTTATTTTTAACACTTTTTAAACTATTTCCAAATTTGACACTGAATTTTTTTATTTTTAAATCCAACACTTTTGATCGTGCCTATTGCCACGGCGCGACCAAACAACGCTCACACGCCATGCATGGCGGCGCGGGCAGCGGCGATGATGTGGCACTTCTCGGGCCCTGGTCGCTGACGTGGCAGGCGCTGCCGCGCCGTAGATCTTAGCACGGCAGTGTCGTGCCATGGTCCACGCGTGCGGCGAAGCCCAATACAGGACCGTGGACCGGCCTCCCTCCCCTCACTGTCTCTCTTTCACTCCAGCGAAACGGATCGAGGGGGAGACGCGCCCGCCGCCGCCGAGGCCACCGCCCGCGCCTCCCCCTCGCGACCACCCGCCTCCCTCTCTAGGCCGCTCCAGGAGCCGTGCTCGTCGTCGGCGCAGCGGCCCCTTCCCCACCGCCGGTCGGCCTCTCTCCCCATCGTTTGCTTCACCTGCGCCCCCCCTGTCCCTTCCTTGCCCGGCCGGCGGTGTGCCACACCCCTCTTCTTTTCTCTCCTGCTCCTAGAAGAAGCCCACCGCCGGCTGCCACCTCGTCGCCATTGGTGGATTTGGCTAAGCCCCAATCTTCTCCTCGTTGTCAAGGTACTCCCCTTGTGTATTTGTTGATTGAATCGAAATTGTTGTTAGTTAGGGTTAAGATGCAAAATTAGTTTGAATGATTAGTTAGTATAGTTAGTAAAGTTAGTATAGTTAGTAAAGTATAATTAGTAAAGTTAGTTTAGTTAGTATAGTAAGTTAGTATAGTTAGTAAAGTTAGTTAGTTTAGTTTGTACAGTTAGTGAGTCTAGTTAGTTATTGTATTTAGTATAATTAGTTATTGTAGTTAGTCTTGTATAGGTGTTAATATTAGATTAGTTAGTATAGTTATAGTTAGTATAGGTATTAATATTACTATAGACAGTAGGTACGACGATTAAGATGATTTGATGAAGTTTTCTCAATTGCTTTTGTAGATGGATTGTTGTGTCCGAGTTTTTTATGGAGTTAGGAAAGAAGATGGTATGTTTGAGGATATGTAAGAAGAATTGGAATGGTTTGATGAACCTCCTAGCTTCAATGATCTTTGTGTCCGTTTGAATGTAAAGTTTGGTGGTGATTTCACAGTGAAGGGGAGGTTTGATAGTGGGAAGACTAGGACACACTATGTCCTGATGTCTTTGCGCGACCCTGCTCACTGGTCCTGCTATAATAGGGTGATCCAAGGTTTCAATGTGCCCATGGCTGAGTTGGTGGTGGAGAATGGGTACATGATGCAGGGTCTTTATGACGGGCCATCCATTGACGGTGTTGGAGGCAATGAACAAGAATACCGCTCTGTCTAGCAAACTCATGCATGTTAAGCCTGACACCGATCGGGTTACGAATATTGCTCTGTCTAGCAAACTCACGCATGTCCTTCTTCCGTTGTTTAACGAATAAGTTGACGTAGTCAGGTTCATATCCCCTCTTCCGTGCAATTACTTGTCTCCCCTTTAACTCATCCAAGAACCTAGCTTGACCATCATAAGATTCCCACTTATATTTTCTAGTGCTCTGTTGAAACAAAAAAATAGATCATAAGTCTTAGCAAAAAAAAATACGATTTCATGTTTTCCACAACAATAACCAACCTTATCATAGTCAACCATATGGCCGCAATAATGGCCTATTCCAAGCTCCGAAGGGACTAGGCCATAGTTGGATTTAACACCACATTCGTACATGACAGGTGGTGCTTTGAAAATTATCCTTTCTTTCTTCTTTTTCTTTTTCTTTTCCTTTGGTGGCTCCGGCCATTGATTCTTAGGACCATAGAGCCACTCCTTGAAACGACACTTCGCAAATGCAAATACCAAAAAGAGGTGACATTAATATATGAACACCTATAGCTCAATATTTCAATAGATACACTGTCCACTTACTTCATGCTTGTTTGGACACACAAACTCCAACGTATTCTCAGGGTTTATCATAGCTCGATCTCCGCAAAAGCACAGAGGAGGTTCCTCGAGTCGTCTAATTGCGACTAAGTGCTTCTCCTTAGCCGTCATTGGCGGAAGGTTAGGGGGAGGTGGAACCCACCGCTCAAAGTGCTCACGTGGATGTCTCCCTCTCCAACAATCGTCGAAAAGGAGGTACCTTGGGTCAAACTTGTTTGCACTGTCGATCCACTGAAAGAAAAAGCACCTCTTATGGGCCTACATAACAAGATTCCAACAAAATATTAGTAACTTAGTAACATAAATAAAGAAAAAAACATACGGAAAGAATTACTTACATTAAAACGACTGCATGCGTAGAAGCAACGAGCCGCTGTGTCCGGATGTCTCGATTAAAACACATCGACCGGACGACCACAGTCACAGTTAGGGACAGGGAGGTCAGGAGGGACGGGGGCATCTTTGCTAGACTCGTCGGGGTACAATTCTCTAGAACGACCCCGTTTTCGCCACAACTGCTCCCGATACATGTCTTGCATCTAATAAAACGGTTGTAATTTAACATCAATCAAAACATCACAAATTAATGTAAAGGAGAACAATTTGCATGACAACTAAAATAATACCTCACACTAATTAACCTTAATAATGACAAAATCAAACTAATATTTTCCTCCGAACCCTAGCCCAAATATACTTATCCTCCAAACCCTAGCTACCATTCATAATCTTTGAATTCACTGTTCAAATGACAACTAAGAGCATCGTTACCGTGACCGAGGCTGAGGAGAAGCTTGGGGAAGGGAGGCAGGGAGACGGGCAGGGAGGGCCGGGAGGTGGCAGGCTTCTTTGAGGCGGGAGGGGGCCGGCGCGGGCGCCCTCACCTCTGTTCGACGTAAGGCAGAGAGAGGGAGGGAGGCTCGCGGCGCGACATTAAGTCGGCCCTGCCACGCCAAGATGTGCGGCGCGGCAGCGCCTGCCACGTCAGCCGGTCAGGGCCCGTGCCCCTACCAAGTCATCGCCTTTGTTGCGTCGCCATGCATGACGTGGCAGCGTTGTTTGGACGGGCCGTGGCAATAGGCGCGGCCAAAAGTGTTAGATTTGAAAATAAAAAATAAACAGTGTCAAATTTAAAAATAGTTTACAAAAAGTGTTAAAAAAAAAATAAAAAATGAAATGGTTATTAGTGGAAGATGATGTGTATGTCTTGCATGTTGAGATAGAGTGAGGATTAGCTTTATAAGAGATATAGATTACTTTTTTTTTCTTTTTCTCTTCTATTTTTCGTTCCATTATCTTTTCTTTTCTTTCATTTTTGTTATTTTTCATGAATTTTTCATTTTACTTTCTTTTCCAAATTATTCTTCATTATATTCTATTTGTATTTTCAAATATCTATACGTGGTACATTTTGCAATGCGCCTACAATACCTATGAGATGTTCCATGAGGCACTTTTTGGTGTTCGCTTAGTATTTACTAGAAAGACGGCCACGGCCTTGCCGCGCCATTCATTTGATTGTATCAGTGTTGGTGTGATTACGGATATATATAAAGATTTTATATGATGTTTCATGATGTATTTTTTATTGTTTATACATTACACATAAAATGTTCCACGGTATATTTCATGACAAATTATTAGTAAGGAATAAGTATACTACTAATTCATTACATTAATAACAAAAACACCTTACAACACACGAAAGATACAAGCCCAAACTCTCAACAAATACCACACAATCTACTAATAAACGTACACACGATTGGTTCATATATATGACCTGGTGTCTAAAACCTCCTGATCTGAAACTGGCCTCTCCCGCTCACAGGGCCCGCTCACAGGGCTACAAGCATGAACCAGCCAAGCGCTGCTAGCGCCGCAGTGGCCTCGCCCCACGTTGCTCGCAGCACGGCAGGCCCGCCCGACGTTGGCGTCGGAGGTGGCGGAGCTGACATCGGAGCAAACATCGCGACCGGAAAATCTGCTTCGGCCTGTACTGTGGGGGCCGGGGCCGGCGCATGCACGGTAGTTTCAGGCGGGCAGTACCTCTTCCTGTGCTTCTTGTGCCCTGCACGTCTCGGCGGCGCAGCCCCGGGTGCCGGCGCGGGTGACCATGGCCTCGGCGCTGGAGCCGACGGCATAGGCGCCGGTGATAGCGCCGGCGGCGGCGAAGTGGGTGTCGTGGGTGCGGGTCGGTCGGCGACTTCCACCACCATCTTCATGCCGCCCAGGCAGTGTCCCGGCGCGCCGCAGATGAAGTAGCGCGTCCCCGGCATGGTGAGCGCGATGGTGGTGCTGCCGCTGTTGTCGTAGAAGATGGGGTCGGTGGTCGTGCACGCTTCGAAGGCGTCCTTGGTCACCTCCATGACGCTGTGGTACGAGTTGTATTTGAAGGCTGCATCGTGTTGCATGTGCATAGGAATCAACGCGATAAGAATTTTACGAGCCTATATGGTAGGCATGCAACGCACAATAATGACAGGCGACAGAGTATATATATATACGAGCTGATGCCCGATGACACTTACTTAGGCTATCTCCCGGAGCGAAAGTCTGGGCTGCGGCCCAGGACTTGTAGTCGGTCCTCCCGTCCCAGCCGCCGGCCGGGTTGCCGACGACGTAATCGGCGGCCATCATGACATCGATCAGCGACAATGCCCAGGCGACGCACGCCACTGCCTTCATCGTCCCCATCTTCGCCGCAGAGGGCGTACGTGATGGCACCAGAGAGTACCAGAGAGGCAGAGACTGCACCTTGTCACTGTGCCTGAGGTTGTCGTAAGCCCGTAACAAGGTGCAGTCTCTGGTCCTCCATATATACCCAAAGGGATAGGATCACCGATGCCTCAGTAACTGTAACCCTACATGTTGCAACGGTTACAGACTCCGGCACGGAATTTCGCTGTGACAGGTCATGGTACATGGAAACAGCCAAGGAGTTGGTAGGTGTCTACTGTCTAAGAACAATTCGGCAGAGTAGATCGATCAGCTTTTGGAACTGGTAACACACCGCTGTATATTCGCCCGTTTCCTTTCCTGCAATGGTAAGTTTCTGTTCTATATGCACCTCATCCAGGCCATGTGCACGTAAGTCCAGACGAACGCTACATTCCCTGGGCACGCGCAGAGGCTTGTATAGTTCGCCGCCGCTCGCTGACAAGCGCATCCAGCCGCAAGGAAACGCTGTGGCAGGCTACCCGCGCGCGTCGGCGACCCCCTCACAAAATCGCCCATGACTTGAGGCCATCGCATACGCGCCGGGCGGTGCAAAACAATGGAAAGGTCCGCAAACAGAACCATTTCGCGCATGCACCGACCGGCCCTGTTGCACGGCGGTTTGCGGTTGTCCGTGCCTTCCAGTATTCCGGCGAACGCGCGCGCGCACCAGCCACCAGGCAAGGAAGAAGGGCTCAGAGACCGAGGTGAAACATTCCGTTCCCACAGGAACGTGGAATCTGCCCGGAGCAGGATGCGGCCGGGGTGAACAGTCCAAGAGCGTAGGGACTGGCGAGAGAGCACTCGGCCGCGGACCGCCGGTCCTGCCGTGCATGTGCGTGCGTGCGACGTGCGAGCGCAGCGCAGCGGCTGATCGCAAGTGCGCCCCAAAAGCGCACGGGAACATAGCAAAATTGGGCTCGCTCGCTTTTGGCAAAAGCGGAGGATGGCAGTATGGCACGCCCGCACGCGCCCCTTGCCGCTGCCGGCATGCACGGCGGATCGGGAGGGGGGACGAACGGCCACGTCACGTTGGAGAGTCCGTGGCCAGGCTAGTCGTTCCTGACCTGTTCGGCTGCTGGCACGGAGCTACGGAAGAGTCGGATGTGCATGTACACACACAGAATATTCGCGCCAGCCACTACAATGGCCATATCATCAGTAGTTTATTTTCACAGCATCCATACAAAGCCACAGCTCGTATCCACTATTCGGCGGCAGTAAGTTTAGTGTTTTTTTTTTGCGAGCAACAGTAAGTTTGCACTCTGTTTCTTCAGCAGGGCAGGTTGAAGCCCATGTACTGCCCGCCGGTGTCCTGCGCCCAGACACGGTTGCACCGGAGCAGAGTGTCACGGCAGCGGCGAGCGCCATGATGGCAGCGACCGCGAGCACGATGAGCGAGGCCCTGCCGGACTTCCGGATGGCGCTCTCTACCGTGGCCAGACCGACGTCGGAGGCCACGAAGCAGATGGTGGCATAACTAGCGCGTTCGCGGCCCCTTTGACTCCAAGGATTATAGACTGGGCCGTCCACATCGAGGACGAGAAAAGAATCATAAACATTGTTGTCGCGGAAGCGGCTTGCAAAAATTCAGAATTGAAGTCACAAAGTCCTTCCGATCACCACGAGGATCAAACTCAATTCACACCGATTTCAACATGACGCCTAGTCCCCAGTGTTCATGGCAATACACTGTTTATAGATATTTCATACTGAAGACCATGTCATTGTCTCGTACTTGGACCTACTTTTGTTTCTCACGTTTCCTATACATCAATCGCCTGATATCTAGGCGACGCCTGCCCTCTCTCTCTCTGCTGGCCGGCGAGGGCCATGGCGGATCCGGCCCACCGCCTCCGCGGGTCCGGCGGCTTCGGGCGGATCCAACGGGCTTAGAAAAAGGAGGTGCCCCGGGGAGGTAGGCAAGCCAGGCGGTGGGGATGGTGGAGGACGGTTTAGGGGCCCTGGCGGCGGTTGAGGCGGCCAGGCCAGGGCGGGGCAGGGAAGCTTCGGCGAGGAGTGGGGTGGGAAGGCGGCCGCCGCGGGCGCGCTAGGGATCCGTCGGCGATGGGTGAGCGGGTGGGAGCCGGGGTGGAAGACGATGAGGGGAAGAAGATGAACATTGTTGGGTCAGCTAGGGACGTTGGATCGGGTGGAAGACGATGAGGGGAAGAAGATGAACAGTGGTGGGTCAGCTGGGTACGTTGGATCTTGATCCAATGGCTCAGATCCGTCGTTTGAAAAAAATGAAAAATTCAGGCGCCTGTAATATATCAATTGCTGGATATTTTGGCCAGGTTTCAGATATCATTAACAAATTTTAGAAATTGTTGAGCTCATAAACTACGAATGAACAAGTTTAATAACTGTTCAACTAGGTTTAGAGATTGTGCTGAGAGGGCATTCGATAGTTTGCTATATAGTCAACCAGTGTGTATTCACCTGATGAAACCTCAAGCAAGAACAGTTACCAATCAAGTACCCCCTTCTAAATTATAAGATGTTTTTGGCTTTTCGAGGTTCATAGCTTTTGCTACGCACCTAAATATAAATTATGTCTAAATACATAGTAAAAGCTATGAATCTAGAAATACCAAAATATCTTATAATATGGGACAGAGGAAGTACGTAGGAATGTAGTAGACATGAAATATACTCCCTCTAATATACTTTCTCTGTCCCAGCAAAATAGATGTACCTAAAAAATCAAAGCGACTTTTAATTTGGAACGGAGGGAGCATACTACTATGGAAGTAAATAGAAATGGAGTATATTTGAACATGTGGTCTTACTCTTGGAGGTACTCCAATATGGAAGAAGATAGGATTAAGTAGCAGGCCTCCTCCAATACCAACGAGCCCACTTGAAACTCCGGCATGTAGACCAGCTGCCAGGAAGATATTCAGCCTGTTCGCTTGTTGGTTTCAGCCAAGATTTATCAGCCAGCCAACAGTGTTTTTCTCTCACAATAAACCAGCACCAGTCGAGCTTATCAGCCTAGAAACCAACCAGCGAACATGCTCATTTGCTGGCAGAGCATGTAGATGGAGCATGCTTTTCGTTGAAATTTCATGTATCGGAAGACACAATTTAACGCTGTTGCCGTCTGTTTTAAACATATGACACATTGTAATAAATGTCATATTTAAAAACCGAGGGAGTGCCCAAATTAAGTTATTTTGTGTTTGGTGATCAGTTCTATAGTAATGCCATACCTCATCGCTGATCACACTATTCTGATTTCGTGATCACTTGTAGTGCACAACACAGGCTGTGAAAGATATGACAATTGGGACCTGAGCCGTAGCGATGAGCTAGTATGCAACGCAGGTTTTATGTCAAACACCCCCTACATAAGAGATGTTTCCTCACATTCACAAACTCTGAAGAAACTATTTGGTTTATACATGAAAACTAAACTTAAACATATAATGAAAGTACATTCCAACACAAAATACAGGAAAGTTATGTTCACATGAATGAGACAAAACCACACTATAGAACAACCAAATACTTTATTAAAAAAGTATAAAGTACAATCCAACATGACCCACCTATAAGTTATAGTTATTTTAGCTTTGTCCTCTATCAAACTTATTTAATTTGTCAAAGTTTTTGGGGGAAAAATAATATCTACACTCAAATCCTTGATTTTTGTCAATCCTTGCTCAAATATCTCAAGAACAAGCTCTAGAATGGCCAGAGAGGTAGAGTGAAGGCTATTAAGTGCTCTTGTTTCGTGCTAGTTTAGCAACAGTGGAGGATGGAGATGAGGGATGTTGAGGGAGGTTATAAGTACACAACCCTTCAAAACTAGCTGTTATTGTGTTTGGGACAACCTTTGATGCTCTTGTCTCATGCTAGTTTAGCAACAATGAAGGACGAACATGGCAGACCTGCTTTCTGATGTGTTTAAATCTTTATATGATGCTACAAATATAGTTTCCGGTATATTGTACCCAACAACAAACCACTATTTTCATGTCCTATGGGAAGTTAAAAGAAAGGATAGAAAAGAAGGAATCAAATAAAAATCATTCCATAGCGGTTATGGTGGGTAGAATGAAACTTAAGTTTCAGAAATATTGGTACATATGCTTGTTGCAGATCTGTGTTTCAGTAGTTCTAGAACTGAAAGTGCATTTGCCCCCTATGTGGGTTTTGGTGTATTGATGACATCCAAATTAGGGACTAATGCGATCTTAATGAGATATGTTGCAGCTATTAATCCCATGAAAGATTCAAAGAGTTGATAAAGATGAAATGGTATCCCTCAATTCTTGAAGTTGTAAAGGCGGACAAACTCAAAACGATCTCCAAAGGTTTTCATTTTATTTTTGAGTTTAGGATCCGCCGCACTATAAAGAGGGACGCAAGTTTAGTTGGTCTGAGGAAGATAGAGTGCTCAAGCATTTAAATAAAACCAAAAGAGAGTCACTCTAGCACTTCACGAGCACAAAGAATTATTTTATGTGACTTTCGGTGTCGGAAGTCCCGACGTAGGTCGGAACTCCCGACGGTCGGAAGTCCCGACCTAAGCCAGGAGTCCCGGCACCTGTGCTTCTAACTGGCTCGCTGTCTGTGCACGTCGGAAGTCCCGACGCTCGCCGGGAGTTCCGACACTGACCTGACCCAAGCCAGGAGTCCCGGCATCTGCAGTGATGGCTGTTTCGTTGACTACGTACGTCGGAAGTCCCGATGTTTGCCGGGAGTTCCGACACTGACTTGCACGCGCTGACTTCCGACTCTTTGTGTACAGTGTTTTCTTTTATCGTCGGAAGTCCTGAGATCTGCGTCGGAACTTCCGACGTAGATCTGAACGGTTGGATTTTCACTTGGAGTATAAATACTCCTCTCTTCGCTTCTAACCGTTATGGACTCATTTCACAGTTGACTCACTTCGTGCTCAACAGCTCCCAAGCAACAAAAGCACCCCTCTCCTTGCCCCTTTGCTCCAATCTTCGATTCCCTTAGGGTTT